CTGCTGCTGCTGGTGCGGCTGCTGGTGTTGGTGCTGGTGCTGTTGATGCTTCCCAAAAATATCTTCATATTTTGCGGTAGGCGGCAATCGCGAGGACATTTCTTTCACTTCATGCATTTGCAAAAAATAGTTTAACTGCCGCCTAATTCGTCGTAAATATCGCAGACGTTTTCGCGGTACTTGCCTTTCAATTTTCTTTTTCAGGATTGCGAACAGTTCGTTGTTGTCTGCCTGCAACAGCAAAAACATGGCATCGAAAGCACTCGTTAATGGATGACAAGTTGTGCGCCTTACTGTAAAGACCCTTCGAATTCTTCAGTGGCGTTAAATAAGCGAATTCAGTGAAGGCAGTAGCCCTCTTCAACAAGATTCCGTTCAGGACGGAGACCAGTCTCAGATGGACATAACTGTTCAGGAATTAACGTAGCAAAGCTAACAATGAAATGCCGTAAATTTGACACATATTTCTTAGCAGGGACATGTTCTTAGCAATCCAAAGATTTGACTTTTTTTGCTGACTGACTGAGATAGTAAATTTTGCTGACTGAGATAGTAAATTATTAAAATGCAACACAGCAACGTGAAATAGGTGCAGTAATGATGAAATCCAATGAGAGCCAAGATATCTTCTACTATGACTTATGCTTACTACCTTGCCACCATAAAGATACCAATCCACTAGCTGCTTGTATCAGTGATTTTGCACCATTGAAGGACCAAAATGGTATCCACGAACTGGTGAAATACAGTGGTCACAAGTATTACCATCCATTACACTGTTACTTGACCACTTAGATAAGTTATAACACACAGCCAGTTCATTAAAATTTAATGCTACTTTGTTCAATTCTAGATCATTACTTTTAAGACTTTAAGTCGTGAAACACTGCTGTCATGAAAGTCAAGAAGAGAACGCACCTCAACATCTACGCCCGGACATTTCTGTCCACCGTGAGAAGAGGAGCACTTCGCATCGTCACTTTCCGAATCTAAATACAATCTTTCCAAAACAAGAAAATGTTCTCTGTGTTTTCAGGATTATTTAAAAAGGATTTTTTTGCACTGCCAATTTCCATTCATCATAACATAAATTTAGTTTCTGATCAGAAATCACCTGAGGATTCATCGTCGTCACTGTCACTTTCATCTGAAAAACCATTCTGCTGCTGCGCTCGATTTGCATTGCCGGATGGATTCACTTCTGGCGAACTGATCGGAGAAGTTGTCGAATGGGCCGAAATTGGCTTTGGCACTTGCTGCACAACACCGTTTGCACCAGGGCCCTTCTGCGCGCCGTTCTCCATCTGTGGTGTCCTGTTCTGGGCATATTTGGCCACCTCTGCGACTGCCGAGATCACCTCCATGCGCATATCCGACGTCGTTGCACCCTGATTCTCCATTTTTATTTCGATGCCCTGATAAATTGGGAAAAAATAGCCACTTACGGCCCTCTGCACATCGCCATTACAAACGACCTTTTGCACCGCTCTAATCATATCATCTACAGGCAAGGAGAGCTGCAAGGAGGGAAATTTACCTCTTTTGATGCCTCGCCATTCGGAAATGCAGCATGTGGATTGCTGTAACACGCCGCTGCGTTTGCCTGCAATTTAGTGATAAGGCCAATTTCAATCAAAGGAGTGCAGCGGGTAACCTATCGCTTGAAGAGTTTGATGAAGGAAATATGTTTCAAACAACTCAATTAATTTAAGACATTGAATTATGCATGCTTTTAGGCACTCATTTACCGGAAAATTTAAAACTGAATAGCAGAACACAAAAAATACAAAAGTTTTCCATTTTTACCGGCCCATTTCTGCCACCGATATTCTAGTGATTGACAGCAATATAGAGGAAACTCACCAAGAGTTACCAGAGTAAACCATCGGCAGTGCATACTAGGCGGGCCGGTGCGATTATGCGTTCCTACACTATTTTGTGCTGTAGCAAGGTTGCTTGGAATCCCTGTAGCTTTTCAAATACTAGCTCTCGAAGCTCAGGATGTTAACTGTGCAGCTATGTGATGCGTCAGTTATTGTGTCGGCTACAGTGACCCGACAAACAGGAAGTTGCTGGCGCACGAAAGAGGTCCCGCCAGCAGAGCTGAATTTGAAATCTTTTAGTCACACATGAGTAGGGGGCATTCCCTTAAAATTCCAACTTCCCAGCTTTTCTCTTTTCTGAGTTCACTATCTTCTAGATAAAATTTTTACGTGTCCGTTCTAAGAAGCTGAATTTGAAATTTTTTAGTTGAAAATGACTCCTTTAAATTTCTAGCTCTCTACTTTTCCTCGTTCCCGAGTTAGCAGTTTTTCCGCCAATATTTTCACGTGTCCGTATGCCCTATACAGTTCTAAGAAGCTGAATCTAAAATCCTTTGGGCGTGCATGAGCAGGGGACATCCTCCTAAAATTTCAGCTTTCTATCTCTTTTCATTCCCCAGCTAATAATTTTTCCGCAAGAATTTTCACATGTCCGTGCGTGAGACCTAGACAGCTCTAAGGAGCTGGATTTGAAATCTTTTGGTCATACCTAAGTTCGTGATAGTGAAACCACGTTCCTGGAATGGCACTTGGTCAAGCAGCACACTAAAATATTTCAGCATCAAAACTTGCATGGTTGCCGGACAGAAATACTCGGACAGACGAACACACACACAAACACACACACACACACAAACACACAAACAAGCACACACAGACAGGGTAGTCGCAATGTGCGTTTTTGCTGCCTGTTGCAAGGAAAAAACGTGTAAAGGTAAAAAGAGGTATAACAAACTAGCATAAATTAATCTTATTGAAAGACTTAATTCAGGATGTTTTCAAAAACGCTATCAGGCCCTAAACTGACTATTAAAAATTAGAAACATAAAAAAAATGGATGCTGACATCATGGACTCCACTGAAATCGCCCTGCATACGCAATATATCGTTCAAAAACTGCTGCGGATAGGGTGCTGCTGGAAATCCGGTGTAGTACTGCTCGTCCATATGCTAGAAATAATTTAAACTATACCAAGAATACCACTGCTGAAATCTTCGGGAGGCGACAATGCCTGGCTTTGGCAAAGGTGACGCAAAACGACAGTGCAAAGTTCTTCGCGACAACATCCAGGGAATCAGCAAGTCAGCAA